ATCCTGGATCCTCACAGGACGGGGAATGCTGTGTTGGTAGTAAATGGTTTATGCTGATGTGATGATATGGATCATCCCGTTCACAGGCGTGCATATTAGATCGGGTTTAATGATAAGTAGAAACGCTCTGGGCTGGTTTCGGAAAAGATAATAATTCTGTTCTAGTCGCGGTTACGCAAACGGCCGCTGGGCTTAATAACGCTGATCATGTTTAATTCTGACACGACATGTTTTTGCCATGTCTCTAAGTGTGTGTGTGAGCGTTTCTGTATCGTAGAGACTGTCGGCAGCACTAATGGAGTTGCTGGTTAGCTTGTGTCAGTGTAGGCTTGTATTTCTCTCAGGTTCGGTCTAATTAAGCAGTTTCTTCTTATTTGGTGTCAGACGGTTGTTAATGAGCACCTGAATCACCGCAGCCCATGAACTGATGATTGAAGTGAAAATTCACACAAATATAGAAACTATTCTCTCATATTTAGTGGGCTTTTATCACACATCTTGCAAAAAGCGGAAGCGCTTAATAGTAGCGTAAAACAGTAATAACTGTATGGGATTGTTGTAACTTATTTATGTACAGATAGTTTATAATCATTAGTCTGGTATGATAAAACAACGGTGTCATGTTATTGTGGCGCATATATCCTGATCTAAAGTTCCTGATGAGCAATAGTAGTTGATGATCGACTCAAACACACTAACTCCACCAGTCATTTAGTGATCTACAAATAGCCTCTTCTTGAAGATTCAATCAAAACACTGTAGCACTCAAACCGTATTCACTTTATGGCCCTTTATAACCCGTTTTTATTTATCACTTTCTTCGATAAAGTTTTGTCTATCCATTTATGGTGTTTTTTATTTTATTTTTGGGGGTATTTTTGAATTTATTTACCTCAAAACGTACCATATTTTCTATGTAAATTATGCTTATTTTTATGTTTTATTTTTTTAACTACATTAAAATATCATTCCAATAAGTTCTTAGAGCTAAAACCTAAAGATGAAGTGACTTTGCTGTCGCCTGGTGTCTTATTTTGGCTTATTTTCGAATGCTTTAAATTACAGTTTTTCCCATTAATTTCCATCACTTTCTCCGATAAAGTTTTGTCTATCCATTAATGGTGTTTTTTAAATTTTGGGGGTATTTTTGAATTTATTTACTTCAAAACGTACCATATTTTCTATGTAAATTATGCTTATTTTTATGTTTTATTTATTTTATTTTTTTTTAACTACATTAAAATATCATTCCAGTAAGTTCTCAGAGCTAAAACCTAAAGATGAAGTGACTTTGCTGTCTTATTTCGGCTTATTTTAGAATGCTCTAAAATACAGTTTTCCCATTCATTTCTATGGTGCCCATTTTTGACCCAAATACAAGATTACAGAGTTTTTTTTCCACCCACTTAACATTGTAGAATTGAGTAAAAAAAAAAGTGTGTTCAGGAGGCAAACCTAGGAAAAGTAGCCAAGTCTTGTACCGCTGAGATCTAGGGAAGTATTTTTTAAAATAAATCAAAACTATTTTGCCCACATTTTTCTAGAATACGGTGTTTGTTTGGCATGATATTTGGTATGTTGGACATAATGAGTTATTTTAAGTCGAGGTCATTATTCAGCGATTAGCATCTTTAGTATTCCTGTCTTTTATCTCTGTTGGTTATTGGCTGATGAGGTATCAGAGAACACTATAAGCTTCTTTGTGCAAGAGCGAAAATCGCTTTTAGCGGCGGATAAGAGTGAGATAATATCAGATAAATCCTGCGGCCTGCGTTAGAATGCAGCATTAGCCGTGTAATAGCATATGGAGAGCAGTTTGACAGAGAGGGATCAGATGGCCGCCAGCCGTTTACCGCACTTCCGTCTCAATCGCGGCGGGTGAACAGTTGTTTTGCAGAGACAGATAGCCGAGGCCTTTTCCATATTCTGAGCGCGTGCTTTTAAAATCCCCCCATGGCTTGAACAGAAGTCTGCAGTGGGTTGATAACTCGCGTGCTGTCAGTCCCTGTCGAGGACGCCGAGGGAAGCTACATGTTCTGCTTCAGAGCTTCCTCTCTTCAGGAATAATTTAAAACTTCTGTGGGACACACTTCTGAGTTTTTCTTGAGGCGCTGGCAGAGACCACATCTAATTAAGATGGATAAAAGGCACAGAAATTGGTGACCGAACGGGGCACGAGCTTCACCTGTTGACGTGACGGATCGGCCTCCCGTGATTGGCTTAGAGGTGGTGGTGGGCGGGATCTCATGTCAGAATGAACTGGAACAGTATCTTTAATAAAACCAACATGAATCCACACACCTTTCTATCCTCACTTACATTAATTAACTATAGTGTCCTGCAAAATATCAAAAGTTATAGCCTATGTTGTGTCTGAATAATTTTTGGTTTGACTGTGCACTAGATGTCTTTGATGTAAATTTAACACAATAATGGTTAATATTTTAATAATCATCTATTAATGGTTGTTATCTCATTTATAATTAGGCTTTTTTATTTG